GGGACACAGAATTGTTACTCAGGGACAGACACAGAATTGTTACTCAGGGAGACACAGAATTGTTACTGAGGGACACAGAATTGTTACTGAGGGACACAGAATTGTTACTCAGGGGGACACAGAATTGTTACTCAGGGACAGAATTGTTACTGAGGGACAGGACACAGAATTGTTACTCAGGGACACACAGAATTGTTACTGAGGGACACAGAATTGTTACTCAGGGACACAGAATTGTTACTGAGGGACACAGAATTGTTACTGAGGGACACAGAATTGTTACTCAGGGACACAGAATTGTTACTAGGGACACAGAATTGTTACTGAGGGACACAGAATTGTTACTCAGGGACACAGAATTGTTACTGAGGGACACAGAATTGTTACTGAGGGACACAGAATTGTTACTCAGGGACAGACACAGAATTGTTACTCAGGGACAGACACAGAATTGTTACTCAGGGACACAGAATTGTTACTGAGGGACACAGAATTGTTACTGAGGGACACACAGAATTGTTACAGGGACAGACACAGAATTGTTACTCAGGGACAGACACAGAATTGTTACTGAGGGACACAGAATTGTTACTGAGGGACACAGAATTGTTACTCAGGGACACAGAATTGTTACTGAGGGACACAGAATTGTTACTCAGGGACAGACACAGAATTGTTACTCAGGGACACAGAATTGTTACTGAGGGACACAGAATTGTTACTGAGGGACACAGAATTGTTACTCAGGGACAGACACAGAATTGTTACTCAGGGACAGACACAGAATTGTTACTGAGGGACACAGAATTGTTACTGAGGGACACAGAATTGTTACTGAGGGACACAGAATTGTTACTCAGGGACAGACACAGAATTGTTACTCAGGGACAGACACAGAATTGTTACTCAGGGACACAGAATTGTTACTGAGGGACACAGAATTGTTACTCAGGGACACACAGAATTGTTACTCAGGGACACAGAATTGTTACTGAGGGACACAGAATTGTTACTGAGGGACACAGAATTGTTACTCAGGGACACAGAGAATTGTTACTCAGGGACACAGAATTGTTACTCAGGGACAGGGACACAGAATTGTTACTCAGGGACAGACACAGAATTGTTACTGGGACAGGTTACTGACACAGAATTGTTACTGAGGGACACAGAATTGTTACTGAGAGGACACAGAATTGTTACTCAGGGACACAGAATTGTTACTCAGGGACAGACACAGAATTGTTACTGAGGGACACAGAATTGTTACTCAGGGACACAGAATCGTTTAATTAAAGAGTATGTCAGACAACAACATGCAGAGGAGTGGCAGAGGAGGCAATGTTTTAGGAGCGAGCAGACGTGGCAGCAGAGGAAGGGGTCGAGGCAGCACTAGTCGCAGCCAGAGGCCATTGCTCCCGGTGTCATCCAGCGGTCGTGTCTCCACCGACAACCCTGCCGTCATCGATTGGTTGGCTCGGTCGTCTTCCTCTTCCCAGGTCACCTCTGACACCTACAGCCAACGGTCGGTGGGTACGTCAGACACAACCGTTAGTTGGCATGGCCCGGGAGCAAGCCCACTGAAATCACGTGTCCTCGACCTGCCCCTGTCCTTTGGTGTTCCCTCACCAAGCGAAGTATCGCATGCTGTGGGCTCAGCCCCACTGTACAGTGAGGAAGAGCTAACAGAGGGCGGTCAGGAACGGGGGGAGACATCCGCCTCTTCAGCAGCCAGGCGAAGAAGTAGTGGCGAGGAGAGTGGCTCGGTAGCCGGTCTAGAGACAGGTCTGTCTCCTGACCCACACGCGCCGAGGGGGCTAGTAGTGAGGGCGGAGACCCTAATTGATGATGATGAGGCTGATCGCACTTGGCAGCCTCGTCGTCATCAGGCTATTGCTTCCGCATCATCAGGAGAAGAGGGTGGCAGCTTGGCAGCGAGCAAAACAGTCGGTGGGTTGCCCAGGAGGCAGCAGGGTCGCAGCAGTGTCAGTGGAGGCAAACGGCCACGGAGTAGAGCACCAGCTCCACTGCAGCCTACCACCACGGCCAGTAGTGGTGCCGGTGTGCACGGAGGAAGTAGCAGTCAGCCAGTGAGGAGTATCGGGGGCAAAGTTTCCTACTCGCGGGTGTGGCAATTTTTCGTCAAGCCGCCCGAGGAAGTAAACGTAGCCGTATGTCGACTATGTGGCCAGAAAGTCAAGCGTGGCCAGGGGGCCCATGTTGGGACTACAGAGCGTTGCGGCAGCATATGCAGCGTCGCCATTTGGTGGCCTGGGAAAAACCGTGATAAAGATACGGCGGTTTCTGCCTGCCCCAGCCCCCGCTCCATCACCCGCTCCGTTACTTGCTCCGTCACCCGACGTCAATCGCCCTCTATCAGCCAGTCAAGGCTCCAACACCTCTGCTGAGGGGAGTTGTCGCTCGTTGGCATCTTCCGCTCGTTCAGATGCTCCTTCTCCTGCTACTCCTCTTCACGGATTCCGTCAGCAGTCTTTCTTGGAATCCGTTTCCAAGAGACAACAGTTTGCGAGCACGCACCCGACGGTGCAAAAGCTGAACGTCCTCCTGTCCAAGTTGCTGGTGCTGCAGTCCCTCCCTTTCCAAGTGGTGGACTCAGCACCTTTCCGAGAAATGATGGCTTGTGCCGCGCCGCGGTGGAGAGTGCCAAGCCGTCATTTCTTCGCCAAAAAGGCAGTGCCAGCCCTGCATTCACATGTAGAAGAGATGGTGGGCCAGTCTTTGAGCATGTCGGTCTCTGCCAAAGTGCACGGCAGCGCCGACGTGTGGAGCTGTAACTACGGTCAGGGACAGTACATGTCATTTACGGCCCACTGGGTGAACGTGGTGCCGGCACAGCCGCACCAGCAACTTGGACAGTCACGCCGCTTTTGCCTCCACGTTTGCACGTCCTTGGTCCACAAAAGATGTCCGCCTCTACCACCTCTTCTTCCGCCGTGTCCTCAGCCGCCGCCACCCCCCCGTGCCAAGTCCCATTACCCGACCGGCATATCACATGTGCAGGGCGCAACGGTGTCACGCTGTGCTGCACCTGGTATGCCTTGGCGAACGTAGTCACACAGGGGAGGAACTTCTGAGTGTAATGAACAGAGAAATCGACAGATGGCTGTCTCCGCGCAAACTGAAAATCGGAACCATGTTGACCGACAACGGAAAGAACATGGTGTCTGCTCTGCGTCAAGGAAGGTTGTGCCATGCGCCATGCATGGCTCACGTGTTCAATCTGGTTGTCAAGCGGTTCCTAAAATCCACCATCCCACTGCAAGACATCCTTAAAATGTCACGTAAACTTTGCATGCATTTCAGCCATTCCTACACCGCAAAGCACACCCTCCTTGAGCTGCAGCGGCAGAACGGAATTCCACAGCATCGCCTGATCTGCGACGTTGCAACAAGGTGGAATTCAACCCTACACATGTTAGACCGCCTTTACGAACAGCGAAAGGCCATCACCGATTTCCTGATGTTACAAGCGGATAAAGGTACTCCCCTGTGTAACTTCGATGTCAGCCATTGGCAGCTCATGCGTGACACCTGCCGCTTGCTCAGGCCCTTTGAGGAGGCCACGCTATTCGTGAGTCGGCAGGACTATGGGATGAACGACGTCATTCCTCTGTTGCACGTCCTGGAACAAATGCTGTTAACAATGGCTGGTCAGGGTGCGGTTAGACGTGGCGCACGCACAGATCTCAACGCCACATGACCCCCCTGTGGGGGCAGGACAGGAAGAAGAGGAGGAGGTAGAGGAGGACATTTGTGCTCAGGAATTATTGAGTGAAATGGGTGGTTTTTCCACTCAGCGGACAGGAGTGGAGGAGCAGGAGCATCTGGTAGTAGGAGGAGGAGGAGGAGGAGAGAGAGAGGACCCAGATGCACCGTGGCAGTATGCTGTGGAGATGGAGGCAGGGAGTCCCTCGCATTCCTTGGCACAAATGGCCCATAGCATGCTCGGTTGCTTGCGTAGCGACAGCCGAATAATAACCATCAGACAGAGGGATGACTTTTGGCTGTCCAGCTTGTTGGACCCTCGCTACCGTTCAAAAATGGTGGCCTTTTTCACACCTGCTGAGAGGGAGGCCAAAATAACGTACTATAAAAACCACCTATGTAGTCAGTTGGTCTCTGCCTTTCTGCGCCAACGTCCATCCTCAGACACTGTGGGCCCTGTGCGCTCGCGTTCCGCTGCCATGGCAGCAGGGGAGGGGTGGGGTGGTAGGAGCAGTGGCAGCTCCACCAGCAGCGGCTGCCTCAGTCTGCAGTCGATGATGAGTAGCTTTCTTCACCAGCGCAGTGAGGAAACTACTAACCAGCCGCAGCAGCAGCAGCATCAGGTGGACCTGGAGCAGGACCTCAAACAACAGGCTTGGGCCTACTTGGACAGCACCCTGCCAACCGAGGTAGACAATCCCCTTGACTACTGGGCAACGAAACTTGACCTTTGGCCCCAACTAGCTGAATTTGCCCTTGAAAGGCTGTCATGCCCGGCCAGTAGCGTGGCATCAGAGCGCGTGTTTAGTGCGGCAGGAGGTATTGTAACTCCGCGGAGGACACGACTGTCCACCGAAAGTGTGGAGAGACTCACGTTTGTGAAAATGAATCAGGCGTGGATTAGTCTGGATTTCAAACCACAAGTTCCTGACACAACTGACTAAATCCGCCATGAATCATGCCCCAAACATGCCACTTTCAGGTCACACTGCTGGTGTGTTCCATTTTTTTTGTCAAGGGTGCTGGCAGATTACGGAGGCCCTGCCAGGCCTGTAAATCTGCCATGGGCCCCTGCCCAGCTGCTGCCAGGTCCAGAGTCTCTCATGGGTCCCTGTACGGCCTCCCATTGCTGCTGTCTCCATCGCCACACTCACTTTCAGGTCTCCTCACACTGCTTGTGTGTTCCATTTTTTGTCATAGGGTGCTGGCAGATTACGGGCCTCCCATTGCTGCTGCCAGGCCCGTAATCTGCCATGGGCCCCTGTACCGCCTCCTCATGCTGCTGCCAGGTCCAGAGTCTCTCATGGGTCCCTGTACGGCCTCCCATTGCTGCTGTCTCCATCGCCACACTCTGCCATGTGCCACTTTCAGGTCTGCTCACACTGCTGGTGTGTTACATTTTTTGTCATAGGGTGCTGGCAGATTACGGGCCTCCCTTTGCTGCTGCCAGGCCCGTAATCTGCCATGGGCCCCTGTACCGCCTCCTCCTCATGCTGCTGCCAGGTCCAGAGTCTCTCTCATGGGTCCCTGTACGGCCAACCATTGCTGCTGTCTCCATCGCCACACTCTGCCATGTGCCACTTTCAGGTCTCCTCACACTGCTGGTGTGTTCCATTTTTTGTCATAGGGTGCTGGCAGATTACGGGCCTCCCATTGCTGCTGCCAGGCCCGTAATCTGCCATGGGCCCCCGTACCGACTCCTCATGCTGTGACGTTGCAACAAGGTGGAATTCAACCCTACAAATGTTAGACCGCCTTTACGAACAGCGAAAGGCCATCACAGATTTCCTGATGTTACAAGCAGATAAAGGTACTCCCTGTGTAACTTAGATGTCAGCCATTGGCAGCTCATGCGTGACACCTGCCGCTTGCTCAGGCCCTTTGAGGAGGCCACGCTATTCGTGAGTCGGCAGGACTATGGGATGAACGACGTCATTCCTCTGTTGCACGTCCTGGAACAAATGCTGTTAACAATGGCTGGTCAGGGTGCCTTAGACGTGGCGCACGGATCTCAATCTCCACATGACCCCTGTGGGGGCAGGACAGGAAGAAGAGGAGGAGGTAGAGGAGGACATTGGTGCTCAGGAATTATTGAGTGAAATGGGTGGTTTTTCCACTCAGCGGACAGGAGTGGAGGAGCAGGAGCATCTGGTAGAGGAGGAGGAGGAGGAGACAGAGGACCCAGATGCACCGTGGCAGTATGCTGTGGAGATGGAGGCAGGGAGTCCCTCGCATTCCTTGGCACAAATGGCCCATAGCATGCTCGGTTGCTTGCGTAGCGACAGCCGAATAATAACCATCAGACAGAGGGATGACTTTTGGCTGTCCACCTTGTTGGACCCTCGCTACCATTCAAAAATGGTGGCCTTTTTTCACACCTGCTGAGAGGGAGGCCAAAATAACGTACTATAAAAACCACCTATTTAGTCAGCTGGTCTCTGCCTTTCTGCGCCAACGTCCATCCTCAGACACTGTGGGCCCTGTGCGCTCGCGTTCCGCTGCCATGGCAGCAGGGGAGGGGTGGGGTGGTAGGAGCAGTGGCAGCTCCACCAGCAGCGGCTGCCTCAGTCTGCAGTCGATGATGAGTAGCTTTCTTCACCAGCGCAGTGAGGAAACTACTAACCAGCCGCAGCAGCAGCAGCATCAGGTGGACCTGGAGCAGGACCTCAAACAACAGGCTTGGGCCTACTTGGACAGCACCCTGCCAACCGAGGTAGACAATCCCCTTGACTACTGGGCAACGAAACTTGACCTTTGGCCCCAACTAGCTGAATTTGCCCTTGAAAGGCTGTCATGCCCGGCCAGTAGCGTGGCATCGGAGCGCGTGTTTAGTGCGGCAGGAGGTATTGTAACTCCGGAGGACACGACTGTCCACCGAAAGTGTGGAGAGACTCACGTTTGTGAAAATGAATCAGGCGTGGATTAGTCTGGATTTCAAACCACCAGTTCCTGACACAACTGACTAAATCCGCCATGAATCATGCCCCAAACATGAAATGCCACTTTCAGGTCTCCTCACACTGCTGGTGGGTTCCATTTTGTCATAGGGTGCTGGCAGATTACGGGCCTCCCATTGCTGCTGCCAGGCCCGTAATCTGCCATGGGCCCCTGTACTGCCTCTTAATGCTGCTGCCAGGTCCAGAGTGTGTCATGGGTCCCTGTACGGCCTCCCATTGCTGCTGTCTCCATCGCCACACTCTGCCATGTGCCACTTTCAGGTCTCCTCACACTGCTGGTGGGTTCCATTTTTGTCATAGGGTGCTGTATGGCCTCCCATTGCTGCTGCCTCCACCGCCGCACTGTGGCTCCACACTCTGGTTTTGGCCCCGTGACTGCCCAAATGAGTGAAGTGTGCGGTGATTCTAAGATCGACGGCACTCATCTGCATGTCATACTGACTGACAGTATTATTTCTCTTTCCCAGCAGACTCCAAGGGCATTTAAATTAAAGGTACAGTGTTCTGCACTAATATAAAGGCTCTCTGAAGCCTAGAAACACCCTTTTATAAGTTAAAATCGCAGCGAATATATTGGCATCGAATCGAATTTATTCCTCGAATTCGCCGAATCAGCCGAATCGAATTTTTGAATACTTCGCTCATCTCTAATTATAATCCCAAAATAAATAATCATGTATTTCCTAGTGATCAAATATACAAAAAATATTTAAACATGAGTTCATACCTTTACCCAAAATTCATATACAATAATAACTTAATATATAAAACATATTATTAATCATTATCCGTGATTATATAATTAATTATAATAAAACCAATTGTGCATCATGATTAGTGAAAATAATAATTCATATCAAAAAATTGTGAATAAATACTCATATATAATTAATTAATTTTGTGCAAAAATAAAGTCCCATTAATCAATCAAAAAAATAGTGACTCTGTGCTTTAAATAATCTCCAATCCGTGACTGATTGTGAATCCGTGACTGTTAGTGAATCCTCCAATTAGTGCAGATGTAAGCTCACCTCCTTATCTGCCTACAATTAGGCTATATGCGCTTTTGGTTCACCTCCTTTGGAACCTGCTTGATTAAGATTTCTCCTCTTTAGATTATGGAACAGGGATATCCTTTAGCACTGATTATCCCCTCTGGGATTACTCCCTCCTCACGATGATACAAGCCCCTATACTCTCCTCTCCATGCGTCTCTCCACATGCAGGGAAAAAATACCAAACATAGTGTTTTATCCTTTTAAAACACTGCTTTATTCCTTCCAAGTAGTACACTCACATTTAATGAAATCAATATAAGGCAATCCAGTGTGTAACGAATCCTCCGCCGACCATTGAGTCATGCACCCGCCGTCTGTCAAACAATCCGGCTATCTCCGAGTGACGTTGCAGCCCCACCCCTACGCGTTACGCTACTGGTCACGTGGTTTCATCAGGGGGTTTTGATAGGATAGTCACTCTCCCATTGCCGGTTTATATAGCTCGGCTCCGCCATTTTGTTGTATATCTACAGGGGGCAGCCATGTTTTTTGGGGGGCAATTTCATTGCATTAACACTTTTGCCAATTGGTATATTTGTAGCACTTACTGCATTACCTCACCCTGAGAGATACATTGTAACATGACTCAGCGGCTTGCCAGAGTTCCAGCGATCTCCTTATACTTTACACTCATAATACAATAATATTCTTTATAACTAAAAACGATCATATTTTTTAAAATGATGGAAACCATCATGTATAAAAAATATAGATATATATATATGAAAACATATGTGTATATATATAAAAATTATGATATATATTAAAATAATTTTACATCAATAATAAAATAAAATATAAATCTCCTACAAAGAATATATTTTAAACAATATACCAAAAAAAATTTTTTTAATTAATTAAATACAAATAAATGTAAATAAAAGTAAAATTAAAATAAAAATAAAAAATAAAATAAAAAATCTCCCCACATAAATTCATTAATAGTATGCACATCTATTATATGTAAATAGAGCTCACCTATACCCATAACCCAAATGTGCAACTACCAATCTGATATAGCTCGACATCAAAAAGATATACTATAATGTATGCCACCTACTTACTATTAACATTAAAGATACATGATAAGGCAATCCAATCACATCAATATGTATAACTCTGGTGAATGAGAGAAAAGTTCTCCCCAACCTATATCTCTAATACTTTTCTCACATTCACCACATAAATGTTCAAAACCTCCTAAACCAGGGTAATACTACATTCATGAATGTTACCATCATGTGTAGTTCTTACATCTAAACATCACTAATGAAACAAGATAAATCAAATTCCTTGTTTAAACCCCCTGGTGCTAGACTTCCCAACTCATAGATCCAGAATGACTCTTTTTTACTAATTTCACGCACTAGATTATCTCCCCTCCAATGCGAGTTATGTTTCGCAATACCCCAGAATTCTATTTTCTCTATTTCTTGATTATGATATAGTTTAAAATGTACTGATAAATGGTGATATTTGTAACCTATACTGATATTGTGTATATGTTCTTTTACACGTTCTTTGAGACTTCTCTTTGTACGTCCTATATATAAACGATTACATGGGCATTTTAGGGCGTACACTACGCCCCTACTATCACATGAAATGAATTGATCGATCTCATATTGTTTCCCATTCTTTGGATTCTTAAATAACTGTCTACATCTTGGATTCCCATGTGTCTTTCTACAACTATAGCAGCGACCGCATCTATAAAATCCAGTTCCATTAAAAAAACTTAAAGTACTAGTCGATATACGGGGAGGTTCTAACACATTTTTTACTACTCGATCACGAATATTAGGTGCCCTTTTATAAATGAACCTAGGTTTATCTTTAACAATAGTCTTAAGGGTCTTATCTAGTTTGAGTATATTCCAATGTTTAGATATAATTTTCTGTATATCCCTGTGTTGTTTATTATATGGTAATATTATCGATATTTCCTGTTCATCTACTTTGTGTTGTATCTTTTTTTCTAATAATGTTTTTCTATCTACAACTTCTATTCTTTTACTTTCTTCTAATATTATTTCTCTCTTATAACCTTTGTCCACAAACCTTTGGACCAATATTTCACTTTGCTCTCTGTAATCATCAACATAAGTGCAATTCCGTCTCAATCTAAGAAACTGTCCCCTCGGGACATTTTTAGTCCATGGTCTGTGGTGGCAACTATTAACAGGGATATATGAATTACGATCAGTTTTCTTGAAATAGTTTTTTGTTATTATACCAACACCTATATTGATTATTTTGAGATCTAAAAAATGTATCTCTTTATCATTGATGTTCCAACTTAATGTAATATTTTTAGTGTTCTGATTCAGATTCTGATAATAATTAATCAATGATGGTACATCTCCTCTCCATAATAATATAATATCATCAATAAATCTGCCATATTAAATTATATTACAACTCATATTATTGAATATTGCTTCCTCCTCCCATTTCGCCATATATAAATTAGCAATACTGGGTGCGAAACGGGCGCCCATCGCGACACCCCTCGCTTGTAGATAATAATCACCTTTATACCAAAAGTAATTATGGCTAAGACAAAATTTGATACATTTAATCAAAAATTTAATTTGTTTTTTAGGGAGAGAGGAATATTTATTTAGAGCCCATGTTGCTGCATCTAATGCCCCTGTATGATCTATAATGGTGTACAATGAGGAGACGTCTGCTGTACTCAAAATCAGATCACTACTAACCTCTACTGTTTGTGTGGTATTAATCACATGTGTGGTGTCCTTGATGTACGCTTTTGTTTTTTCTACTAAGGGTTGAAGAAACTGATCAATGTACTGCCCAATCCTAGATGTTAACCCATCTATACCATTGACTATTGGTCTTATAGGAGGATCTTTTAAATCTTTATGTATTTTCGGTATTGAGTATGTTATTGGTATTTTACTCACCGATGGTACCAAATATTTCACTTCTTTTTCATCTAAGATGTCTTTATTCTTTCCATGTTCTATTAATTTACTTAATTCCTTTTTATATAACTTCGTAGGATTATTAATTAATTTACAATATGTTTCTGTATCCTCTAACATTTTGCTCATAGATGTTTTTCATACGATTCTTTGGATAATATTACTATTCCCCCTCCCTTATCGGCCGGTCTCACTACTATATTGTTTCTATCCTTCAGGGACTTTATTAGGGTTAGGGATTGGGTTCTCTTGTTGTTGTTGCTCCAATGGTGAGTAACTATTATGAATTGGAACATTATACATTTGATTGTATGGTGGAGGATATCCTTGTGATTTATATCCTGGAGATTTATAGTAATTGGGTCTATATCCCTGTGTATTCCTGGGTGGATGACCATAGGGTCTTCTATAGCCTCCCCCTCTGTATCCTTGATTAAAATATGGTTTATAACCTGGATGGGGGAAACTGATATGGTTCCCTATTTTGAGGTTGGTATTGTCCATATTGCCTCCAATTTTCTCTGTTGTAACTCTGTTGAGATGGTCCCATCTCTTTTTTGGATATGGGTGTTTTTTTATAATTATTAACTGGGATTGCATTTTTAGGTGTAGCAAATCCAATTGACTTTTTCACTGCAGATCCACTATTTGTCATAGACTTGGTAGGTGTACATTCTGTGGACGCAGTACCTGTATTGTTAATTTTGCTTTGCCATTTATACACCTGTTTTAAACTGTAATCCTGTAGCACTCTTTGATATTTCCTTTTCTTTTTGTTTTTATTCTCCTGATCTCTATTCTTTACATTCCTATTCAATTCACTCATATATTTACCAAAATCAGAGTGATCTTTAAATGTTTCTATTTTTTCTACTTGTTCTTTTACATTTAATTCAATCTTCCTCATTTTCCTTTGTTTTCTCTTAGTGAGAAATACCAACAACTCTAAGCTCTTCTCACTGAAAAAATGATACCATTCAATTTTGTCATCCTCGTCCATTAATCCATCCGCAATGGGTAAATCCCATCTCAATTTCCTATGTATTAATTTTTCTTTTATATATTTTTCCATGGTTATGATGTCCCACCATGTATTAATCTTTTTCTCCATAAGATGTCCTGCCCGTCTAAACACCTTCTGAATATTCACATCAGTTTTATCATCGGCCTTAAAAATAGCCTCGATATCTATGTTCTTATCTTCCAAATAGGTGAATAGCTCCATATTGTCTCAAGCAAGTTTGGTATGTTAATTATTACCACAAGCAAATATCTATATATCTTGC